TCTTTCCGTGAAGAAATTTTCCCTGTGTTCACAGTCACAGTTCTCTTGCCTGTGAACAACAGTCTGGTGCTATTTACGACAGCAGCCTAGAGGTGGAAGGAGGAAGGACAAGAACAAAAAAACCAACCCCCATATATCAGTTATTTTTTTGCCATTGTCCTCCCTTCTTCCTGTTCCACCCAAACAGCTATACTACTCACAAGATAAATGTCTTGTGTCTTGCCAGGTGGCCTAATTTTCAGTGGTTTTAAATTGCAGTACTCCTTGACTTCTCTGCAGATTTAAAAAAACTTCAGGTGGAGCTAACTCTCAAATCCAGGTCACTTTTAGAGACCTAAATATAGATTTCAGTATTATATAACTAGGTGAAAATTTTGGCTGGGGAGCTAAGGTGGCGTCTGAATCAAAGAGTCAGTGGGCTTAAAGAAATGGGACATTTCTGTTGGAATTCTTCTGTACCACACACATGACACCTAATTTCAGAATTAAAAAAAAATATCGCTGTTCTTTATCCTGTCTCTCCATTAGCTGCCATTCTCTCAGGCTGGTTTTTCTTCCCATAGTTTCCCTAAGCATAACTTGGCTCATCACTGTCTTGGGATGCTGCTGGAATTTATCCTTAGCTTTATACTTTGATCAATACCTGTGCACCTTTCACTTACCTGAAGATTTCCTCAGATTTAGGCAGTGCAGCAGTCTGTAGCAGAGTGTGCTCTTACTCCACAGAGATGCTTAGAATAGCCCCAATTCCTCAGTTAATCATCTATTCCATGTCCAAGCCTGTGAGCAGGCTCAGGCCACCCAGACTTCCTCCCCTGCAACTCACCTTTTCCCTGATTTCAGGTTTTTCTTTCCTACTTGCTGTCAGTAAGCAAGAAGCTGCAAGCTCACGGTTGCTCATTACAAATTTCAGCCTTTGGATCTTTTAAACAATTGCATCCAAATGTTCTTTCCAAAGACAGGCTGAGGCTATGGGGAAGGGTAGATCTTCAATTAGTCTAAAAATTCTTTGAAAGGCTATTATTGAACTCTGAATGAAATCAGATAGGCCTATGTCACCATTTACTACACTCTCTATAATTCACTACCCTGGGCTCTCCAGGCACCTCCCAAGCAGGACCAACCTTGGAGGTGCTGGAGCATTTTTCTTGTGGGAGCTCTAACATCCCCAGCTGCTTGTGCCCACCCCGCAGGAGGTTTGCCCCAGCTGGGTCCAATTGCTTCCCCCAGGAAAGGGCCAAATCCCTCCCTAGACAGGTCCAGCAGCACAGCTCTTGGTGCCTCGCCGAGTGTGACACAAAGAATACTTGAGAGAAGCAGTTCTACTGTCTGCCTTTTAGGTTTCAGGAATGATGCAGCAGAGACAGAACCTTTCCTAGGAAGGCAATACGTAATGCCAGGCAAAGCATTCCAGATTTAATCATGTGTCTGTGATGTTCCTGACAGAGTTAGAAGATAGTCTTCCAAAGAAAAGGGGGGGGTGGTGGTGGGGGGAAGATTTTCTTTGATTTTCTTCAGTATGTGAAGTCATTGTTTTGACCAAGCTATGCTCCCAATAACTTGAGAGTGCAATATATATTATTGGGTGGTATTTGAAAAGAACAGCTTTTCTGTACTGTTAATGTTTCATTCCCCCCTCCCACTTTTATGATTTTCTATCTTTACCTCATCAAAGCTGATATTTTACTGAGCTAAGCGACACAAGTGAAATACTGACGTGCACTTCCCTAACTCTGAGTTAAGTATGAATTTGTTCCAATATAAGTGCTTATTCAGACAGGAAGAAATATAATTTAATCATGTGTGAGCTGAAGTAAGATATACCACCAAACCCCACCATCATTCAAGTCAGGTTGGTACACTATCCAATGAAATATGCACTGACTGACAACAGTAAAAGCAAAATCTAGCCTTATCTCAGAAGGAAACTGGTGTGAGTAGGAAACAAAATCATCTATATTCATCCACCCTTTTTCTTTTTTTAAAAACCAAGCTTGGACAGCACACAAATGAACAAATGGGAAGACTTTTCTTTTATTCAGTGTAAGAGAAGGTGTAGTGTTTCGGTGGTTAATTTGAAAAAGTTTACAGATTAGTATCTAAAATCTGTGGTATCTTCTGAAAAGGATCAGCAGAGTGCCTCTTCCACTGGCCAATCACAAATTCAGTTGAATAAAAAAATATGCTTTGAACGTGATGCGTTCTCCAATCTGGCAGTAGTGCCTACTGGAATAGCAACAAGAGACTTCCCATCTCACATCCTAGAAGCTTTTCACACACCTCCGCTCATTAATAAGCTTCTTTAGTATTTGGATATCAACCTGTGCAGTTCAGGGCTTTACCAAAAGCACAATTCAGGGGTTTACCACGAGCAGTACAGTGTAAACCTGCACGTGATCTCCAAATGGATTATGGAAAAGAACAACTGTTGGGATTGTAAAGTCTTTCTCAAAACCATGATTTAAAATGTTGTTGTTGAGTCATATTGAATGAGATGCCTAATGTAGTTCATGGATAGAAACCATATCCATTAAATAAAATCCTAATCAGAGTGCACCGTCCCCCCAGCACGTAGGCTGCTTTACACATTGTTGCAGCTATCCTACTTCAAGTATTGCAGCAAAGGGATTGCCTGTACCATTGTTTATATTGTTTAAAACTATTTTGCATTTACTCTTTAAAAACACTGACCAGACTCTTTCCTGGTGTGAAGGAGATTCACAGAAATAGAGTAGTTCCTATTAATTCTACTGCCACGTGGTTGCACAAGTCTCAGGCTCTGGTCTCAAGCGGGTGTGCACAATTGCCACCGGCATTACTGCGAGTTATGTGCATCCAGTGAGGGGAAAGGGGAACCCCTCCACACAGGCCGTGCGCTCTTCTGGAGGGTGCAGACAGTATAAAACTATTTCTGCTTGTGGAAAGAGAACGTACACACATGCACTCTGACAGCGCTGCCAGGCTACCGTGACAACTGAAGTTACATACAAATTATGTGTGTTCTTACCATAAAAAATCATACTCCAGAGTCCAAGACTGGGTTAGAAATCTCCTTACGCAGCTAGTTATTTGCCCTGTGGTGCGAGGTATCATTCACTACCCCTGCCTGGTTCGAAAAGCCACAGGGGAACAACAAAAAAACCAACCAAAGAAAAAGGAATATCTGGTTTCACAGAGCCCTTTCTACAACTACAGCAGATGATCATTTTATTATCATTTTATGAGGTGCCTTCTTGTTCATCAAGTAGGCTAGAAGTTAGAAGAGGGTTTTGAGCAAGTTTGTGGTTGTTGCCCGTCTCATTTCTGTGGGTTTTGTTCCCTTTGCCAGTTTTTACATTGGTGTGTTTCTGTAGACGAGCCTAGCAACAGTTGGGGAACAATTCCGTGTTAGGTGTGATACAGAACAACGTTTTGGCTTAGATACTTGAAAATCTAGATGCTTTCCCTATAAAAACAAACCAACCCATAAACAATTACTAATACACTTTTTAAACTGAAAACAAAGTGAGCTGTGCAGTTCAACGACATCTTCCCAAAGCAGCTATTATAAGGGCTGGTCTCCCACATATTGCACAAGCGTCTGTTTGCTCCTGGCTTCTCTTTGGAGACAGCTACCTAGTTTCCTCTAAATCAAAACCCTGGATCTGGGTTTTGAGGATGGTTTACTTTAGGGAGTGTTCCCAAAAGCCAGTCCGGACAAGGATGCTTTGGCTTTGGCTCTCTGCAGACCTCCAACACTGTTCCCAGCAGGCTTTCGATCCTCACATCTTCCCACTCTTTTGCTCTACGTCCTTGAGTGTGCACACATATTAC